TGTGAGAGGTCCTGCAGGGCCCTGAACTCATCCAGGAGCTCGTTCCACCAGTAAGGAGCCGCCACCGAAAACGCCCTGGCCCTGGTAACGGCAAGTCTCGCCTCCTTGGGGCCCGGGATAGATAGACGTTGTTGGGCCCCAGACCATAGTGCTCTCTGGGGCACAAATGGGGAAAGGTGGTCCCTCGGGTAAGCCGGACCCTGGCCATATAGGGCTTTAAAGGTAAGTACCAGCACCTTGAAGCAAATCCGGTATGCTATTGGCAGCCAGTGCAGCAGCCTAAGTGCAGGCTGGATGTGCTCCTGACACAGAAGACCCATCAACAGCCTGGCTGCGGCATTCTGCACCAGCTGCAGCTTCCGGATTTCTGACAAGGGCAGCCCCATGTAGAGAGCGTTACAGTAATCCAATCTCGAGGTGACCGTCACATGGATCACCATAGCCAGGTCGCAGCCGTCGAGGAAGGGAACCAACTGTCGAACCGGCCGAAGATGGTAAAAGGCTGATTTTGCAGTGGCCGCTACCTGGGCCTCCATTCTCAGAAGGGGATCCAGGCGCACTCTCAAACTCCTAACCTCCGGTGCTGGCACTAATAGCGCCCCATCGAAGGTTGGGAGCGGGAGCCCCAACCCCTTACCGCCACGGCTCAGGCATAGGACCTCCGTCTTCGCCGGATTCAGCTTCAACCGGCTCAGCCTAAGCCAACCAGCCACGGCCTGCAACTTCCAGTCCAGCTCTTCCGGTCTGGAGTCCGACCGGCTGCCCAACATCAGGTAGAGCTGGGTGTCATCGGCGTACTGATGACAACCCAACCCAAACCTCCTAGCCACCTGGGCGCATACAGATATTAAACAACATCGGGAAAAGCACAGTACCCTGAGGCACCCCACACTCAAGTGGGCGTCCCCCGGACCACTTTTCCCCTCGTGCCACCCTTTGTCCCTGACCCTGGAGAAAAGAGACAAGCCACTGTAAGGCAAGCCCCTGTATCCCCACGTCAGCGAGACGGCGGGCGAGCAGCTGGTGATCAACCATGTCAAACGCAGCCGACAGGTCAAGCAGCACCAGCAGCACCGTCGAACCGCCTCGATCCAAGTGTCTTCGGAGGTCGTCAGTAAGAGCAACCAACGCCCTTCTGACTCACTGCTGGATATGGACATGAAGCATGATACTCCCTTGACGGTTACTGAATTGAACCCCCCGCCTGACCAGAGAGAAGCACCTTCTGAAAATGCTGCCGCTTCTCCTTCCCCGATATCACAGATCCCACCATCTAATGGCTGTGTTTTCATTGACACGGGCAGATCCTTGGATGTTATCGAGGAGGCGGACTGACTATCACCCCTCCTCTCCTCTCTTGGAATAGTGCCGGATGGCGTTCTAAATCATTGGACCAAGACTTTATTTCTTATATATCACAGTTTAAGATTACCTTTCTACAAGAAAACAATGCTGTGGAGAAGAGGAGGAGGAGGAGGAGATTGGATTTATACCCCGCCCTTCACTTGGAGTCTCAGAGCGGCTTACAAACTCAGGTGTCAGAAGAGACCCTTGCAATGGTGACAGAATATGCAAAGACTGGGCTAGCACCCTTCCTGAAGAGGACAGAAAACTCCTTTTACTCTTCTCCCGGAAAGCAAGAGCAAGCGTCTTAACATATTACTGAGACAATGTTTGTGAACTGGGTCTCACTGCCCAACGGCAGCCCCCTAGAGAACTCAGGCTGTCAGCATGGTACCAAATGCCCACTCCTGTCCAGGTCTTCTCCTATTCCTCAATGCGCTTGCTGCCAACGTGCAGAAGAAGAAGAGAGAAGAGATTGGATTTATTCCCCGCCCTTCACTTGGGAGTCTCAGAGCGGCTTACAAACTCCTCTCCCTTCCCCTCCCTCAACAGACACCCTCTGTGAGGTAGGTGGGGCTGAGAGAACTCTAAACAGAAACTGCTCTTTTCCAAGGACAGCTGTGCCAGAGCTTGTGACTGACCCTAGGTCACATCAGCAGGTGCAAGTGGAGAAGTGGGGAATCAAACCCGGTTCTCCCAGATTAGAGCCCGCACACTTAACCACTACACCAAACTGGGAAAGATGACCGTTTGCAAAAACCTACAAGGAGCTCCAGAGAGCAGGTGCTCTGCCACCCTCTGAGGATGGACCACTCGAGGGGGAGAGAGTTCTAGTGCGTTCCCGCTGGTTCCTCTCACAGCAGCTTTAAAAGGATGGCCAATGGAAAGCTCAAGGC